GGCTCATTTATAGCCTATATATATATATATTGCACCTTGAACTATTCTGCATCTTTTCATATGATAAGTCCTAAAAGCCCTGACATCAGTCAAACTTAGTTACCCAGAAACTATAAAAAAAAAAAAAAATTGTATATTTTTAATAAAGTGGCTATACCTAAAACAATTTGATTCTATAAATAAAAAAGAAATATTTAAAATGCAGTAAAATAAAAAAGCTTGTCCCATAATCCTTATGAAACTATCCATAAGACTCCTATCTTCACAATCACTGTTTTACATAAAGATTTATCTTTATAGCATAAATCATTCATGCAAAAAAAGAAATTTTTTTTGATTAATTAGAATTTCAACCTTTGCATCCGATGAAAGATAAGAGTGTTTTTTCTGTCCGGACTCCTGACATTCCTCTATATGCGTGTAGGTTATTCTTGAGTTATTTTCAGATTATTTTTGGGTTATTTTCAATAATCCTGAAATAGTCTAGAAATAATCCGCGGTCTTTATTTTTGAGTTATTTCTGGATTATTTCGGTATTATTTAAAATAACCCAAAAATAACCTGAATATTACTCAGAAATAACTTATGCCGCACGTACAGCTACGTTAGGAGTCCGCGCAGAAAATTTTTTGGCAAGATAGATATATAATTTAGGCATAGATGAAAAAACAAAAAGTCAACATAATTGCAAATAAAATCTTAAACCGAACGCGAATCCTTCCCCATATTTCTTACTTGTGTTGGGATCTAAATAAACACGAGCTGCATCTAAAGAACTCTTCCGACAGCCCGAGATCGCCGCACATACAACACACAGTCTGCGATGAAATCACCGGTGGCGAAGCAGATGCCAGCGATCCTCCCAAGCCCCCCATCCATAAAGCTCTGTAGCAGAAGAGAAATTAGCAGAAATCTTTGTATCAGCTCGGCTTTTTATTTATGTTGCGGAAGGAGTCCAATTCTGTAGGATGGAAGAAACAGGAGGTCTAAAGCAGCTTTTTTAAAGGCGATTTGGTGCTTATCTGTTAAGCGTTTGTTTGCGCGATTCAATTTGGTTGACGGCTACTGATCACCTGTCGTTCAGCAATCCGATTCAGTTGACTCGCGTGGCATTTACTTGCATGCCACTCTATTCTTATGTATTTACATTTCTGACAACTAAAGTTTAATTTTTTGCAACTTTACCATCAATATCTTTCATATGACATGTTAGGTATAACTCATATACCATAAATGTGACAGATGTTGGAGTGGGCGGAGCCCACGAGCTGAGTGGAGCGGAAGGATATCTCCAATCGGGAGAGTTTCATTATGTGGGTTGGGGCTCGGTTTGATACAGGTGTAATTTAAGTAATTACATATTGTACTATAGGGTTATAGATATGTCATGTTTGTAATCCTATGAGAGATTTTGAGTTTCTGAATCTTATATTATGTATTCTTTTCTGAATATTGAAAAGATAGTCATCGCTCTGCTCCCAATGACATAGTCATTTTTGCTGAACCTCGTAAATCTCCAAGTGTTATTCTGAATTTTTGTCTATTTCTATTTTTCTTCGCTCTAATTTCAACATCAAATTAAATATTATTCTGTTTGATTTATGATTTAGTATGGGAATAGTTAAATAGTTTTTATTTTGAAGGAGGTTACGCCTGCTTTCGGGAACGCCACATGGTGCATGGCGCTTTAAGATGGAGCGGTTGGAGCGAATGAACGTGTTCGGTGTGGGCTGAAGGCAAGTGTGAGAAGTGATAAGTGAGGGTTATTAAATAATGCTGTGCTTAATTATTTAATTATAATTGACTTGAAATCATTTTAAGTTTGACGTTGACAATTTTGATAAAAAATTAATAATAATCAAAACATTATAGTTGGCCTGATTTTCTATGGCCTAAAGTGGAGAGAGTATTTCGATGAAAATTTATATTGAAAACAAACAAACGAGGATTAGTTGGAGAATATATTAGGTCGGGACTCCAGATTATCCGAATTCCAATAAAGAAGCGCCACATGTAAAGTGGACCCATCATCATACATTGTGGTCCACTTTACACGTGTCGAACCCCCATCGGACTCCGGATGCATCCGGAGTCTTGACCTAGTATTTTCATGAAAATGTAGGCTGAAATCTATTTTAATATGTTTAGTGATTAAATGATAAATTTTAGAAATTAACTGCATTTAAAACATTTTGTATATAAATTTGAGCTCAATTCACAAATCACTTATCAACCCGAGCACAAGCTAACTCATGGGTTGGTTTGGCTCATTTATAGCCCAATCTTAATATTGTTAAAGCAAAATTAAGAAAGATATTTTCAAAAAATTTTAATTAATAAAAAATTAGCCTGGGTTGACATAGGAAGAACCGGTCAAACACTACGAGTTAGCGTCTGATAACCACGTTAGCACGTTACCCATTCGTTGGGCGAAGAAATTAACATGTTTAAAAGTCCAACAGATTTATTAAAAATCAAAATAAATTACAAACAAAAAACCACACGTTGAAGTAGTTTTTCGTGCGTTGACCATGGCTCCAAATACACATATATATATATATATATATATATATATATGGTATCTTGTTTAATAATTAGGGTTGATGTGTTTAATGAATACAAACTTTAAAATATTTTATCATTATCTAATTTAATGTTGAAACTTTCTCTTGTGTCGCTTTATAATTTAATAATGCATAATTTAAAAATAAATACACATATTTTAATTAATAAGTTGATTACAAAATCATATGTATTTAAAAAATATATAAATTTAATGACAGCATTTATGCAAGTTTTTTTTATGGATATTCTTTAACATAGCCTTAAACTTTTTGTTCATTGAAAAAGGTTTAAAAGCACATATTTATATATTAATTTTAGGATATACTTGGGTTTAATTTATTTTAATTTAAATCTTTTCTTTTGTTTTTAAAAACATATTAATTTCATATATTTTTATTTTTTGTTTTAAAAAAAAAAACTATAATATTTTTTGATGAATGGTATAAATATAAGCATATAAATTTTATTTTTTTTTAGGTTAAAATAGTGATATTTAGATGATAAATCCATGATTTCCATGGTATAAATGTAAAAAAATAAATTTTAGGTGTTAGATATATAAATACATAAGAAATGGGTGGTAGGTATGTAAATGCCCCAAATAAAAATAGCCAAAGTACAACTATTATTAGTTCTAATTAAAAATTTAAAAGTACTCCTAAAAAGTTGTTTACACTTATTACGTTTTGAAATTCGTCCATTTTTCTAAAAAATTGAATATCAACATGCTGCAATATACATAAGCTTTCAAGGCCATACATTTGGAAATTTACATACATACCACACAATATTTTTGTATTTACATATCTAACACCCAAATTTTGATAATTACATTTATAAAACTTGGATGAAAAGTTGTGTTTCACTTTTAAAAAAACATATACAGATGGTGATATTTTTGATGCCATATTAATAATATGTGTAGTGTGCATGTAAAAAAAGAATGTTTTGGTGTTAGGTAAATACAAGAGAATTGTGTGGCATGCATGTATTGAGAGCAGAGGTCAGCATTAATAGGATTTGGTAAATCCAGCAAATCTATCTTATCTTTAAATTTAATCGATTCGGTTTAAATTTAATAAATCCAGAGAAATTTTATTGAAAGGCCCTATCAAAACGAGAAATATTTGGGTACGTAAGAAGTATCATATTAGATTATTAGGAGAGTACATGTAGGTTACACTCAGGTATTAGCCCTTGTAATTCTTACTGAAACATAAGTGTAACCAACTAATACCTTACAAATAACCTAATATGTACGCAACTTCGCGTACGTCTTACGTACACAAATTTTTCTATCAAGTTGTCTGGTTGGCAAAAAAATTTTAGAAATTATTGTCTAAGATGTATAATTTGATTATCTATAATACTCCCATCTTATAAACTTTTGGGTGAAAAAAATACTGTTACTGGACTAACATCATCATATCAAAACAATTTCAAATCAGCTTCACAATTCCACTAATCTAAATATCAATTAATATCTTTTATTTCTTTTATATGAGATTTGTTGAATCCTAATTTATCTGTGAATCACACTAAAATAATAGAGCATCAAGAGAAAAAAAGAGAGGCAGATAGAGGAGTCTATAATAATGAGTAGTAATACATCTTATCAATCATGGCATTCATAAAGAATATCACAGTAACCTAGCTAACTATGAATAATCATTTCATATGAAGCTATCAAGTCTGAAAGATAAATTCAAAACTAATGGGTATACAAGTTTCCAAGAAGGTGCCTCGGCTCGAACATCCAAATATATGCAAAATTTAGAAGGATTCGTTATATCCAACCATAAATATGACACATGGATGCTTATAGATTAAAATCTCTCAGCAGCACTCTATTATATCATCTCCCCTTCGTTACTACCTTACATACTCAACCCAAATATTTGCAGTGATATAACGGCAACCATTGATCACATAGTCCAATCTAGTAACCATTCGTGCATTCTAAAACTGAAGAATAAGCTTCAACATCTGTCCATAGGCAGCAAAATGATGTACGTACTACAACTTAGCAAAAAGTCAAAATTTATCATTTCAAAAGTCTAATTCTAATAGTCTAGTACCATTACATCTTATACATTCAGATGTTTGGGGTCATTCTCTCACAATTTCGCAACAACGCTAGAAGTATTATGTATCATTTATCAATGACTTCTCAAAATTTTGTCGGGTATTTCCTATCAAAAATATATTTGAACTCACCTCAATCTTTATCACATTCAAACATATGGTGGAAATACAGCACCATCACATCAAAATTCTCTGCTTTGATCACATTGAAGAATACCTCAATCATAACCTAAGAGCTCAACTGAATGATGCCCCTATACACCTGAAGAAAACGAAGTCACTGAATACAAGCATCTACACCTCATTGAAATTACCCATACTCTACTTCTGGAAGCTAGCCTACCTCATTACCTATGCATTGATACTCTCCTAATAGCCACCAATTTCATCAAACACTTGCCCTCGCCAAACACAAACAATCTCTCGCCCTATCAACTCCTCTCTAGTAAAACACCAGACTCAACCACCTCAAACCTTTGGACGTACATACCATTTTTGGCTAAGACCCTACTCTAAAAATAAACTTCCGCTAAACTCACTCTAATTTGGTTTTCTTGGCTATAAAAATAACACCAAAGGCTATAAATTATTTCATCCTCCTACAGACTGCATGTTGATTTCCAGGGATGCATTTTTTTATGAGTTTACCTTTCCCTACCATCATAACATCAATCCATACTATAAATCAACCACCACCTCATATATTCCCCCTCTAACACTAGTACCATTCTCAAATACCACAACTACTTTTCGATCATCTCATCTTAACTTAAATAATCCCATTACATCACCCATAATTTCACAATCTATGGTTTCCCCTGAACTACCAGTCTCACCAACATTTCAGAACCTGCACCCATTCTCCTTGCTCCTCAACCTTCCACATCTCATTGTTACTCCATGATCACAAACTGGAAGCCTCAAACCAAAAGCACATTTTAGACCTGGCTCATACAATATATCACCAACCTAACCCCACATCCTACACAGCAGCCATCAAACACGAGGGTTGGCACAAAGCTATGGTTGATGAATTTCATGCCCTTTAAGTTCAAGGCACTTGGACCTTAGCTCCCCCACCACTGCATCATGGGATATAAGGCTGTAAATAAACCTACAAAACCAAATTACAACTAGACAGCTCCATAGCTAGCTACCAAGCTCGCCTAGTTGCCCAAGAATACAATCAACAATACGACATCAACTACACTGAAACATTGAATCCAATTGCAAAAATAACCACAATCTCTTTCTCATTATTGTTGATATCTCTCAAACCTGGCTCATGACACAACTTACTATTTCTAATGCCTTTCTTCATGGACATCTTCAAGACAATCTATATTACTTAGCCTCAAGGTCATCCAAATCATGTCTCCTTCACAAAGCCATCTATGGTCTCAAATAAGCATCAAGGTAATGTTCCAAACACTCTCTCAACTGCTACAAGGCTTAGGGTTTCATGCCAGTTCAGCAAATCCCTCTCTTATGATCTATGATCAAGATGGCAAAGTCATATATATACTTATATATGTTGATGACCAATATATGTTTGACAGAATCATATATATACTTATATCTGTTGATGACCTAATAATCACAGGTCACAATCAAGCCCTCGACAGCGCCATTCAATCCCATCATCAGAAACTTTAAATAGGAAATCTAAACCACGTTCATCACTTTCTTGGAATTCACATCAACCAAGCCTTTGCTGTTCTGCACCTCAATCAATACAGCCATTCTTAAGTTTACGATTGAGTTTCAACTGCAAATGGTAACAAATTTCTAGTCAACCATATAGAAACTAGCAGCCAAAAATAAAGTGCAGCACCCACATACATGGTTCATTGGTTGAAAACAAAGTGAAGAATCACAAGATATCGGGTTCGAACACTCATCCTGCTCAAAAAAAAAAATTGATGCGAATGACTCCTAAAAAATTCATCACTGAGTTAGATAAATATGCAGCAAGAATACGTCCAGCCAAAAAGATATCAACAATTTTCAAACCTTAAAAGCCATTCAACAAAATAAGAAATTTTTTATAGAACAAACTTTGAATCAGATATAATCCGACCAATAAGCATTTGGATAGTGTTCAAACACTCCTTGTTTCAGAACCGCAAAAAAACAATTTTCCAATTATCAGGGATATCAGGTCCAACAGTAATAATAAGATTCTTAATGGCATTAATAGTTTAATAATGTGGTTGCAAAATGGTCGCAAAATCTCATATGCAGAACTACCAGCAAGGCAAAAATCATAATACAAAGAATAGGTGGTTCCATTCCCAATATAGCAAGAGAGAGAACATTTCTAGAGACAACTTTCATGGAAGACAAATCTCACATAAAACCATAGGAATAAGGCTCCACTTAAAATGGAGGTTCAAGGAATAAGGATTTTCTCCAACATCTTCATTTTGCTGATCTTAGGACTGGTAGTTAGGGCCCAAAAAATGAGATGAACTTTCTTATAGGTACCCCAATTATAAATAAATCTCAAAGTGAGGGACCCAACCGTGTTCAAGAATATATTTGGGTTAGACGCAAATAGGCCACTAAGATTTTTTTTTTCTTTGTTATATTTCCAAGTAAGAAATCAGCAATACACAGGTTAAGCATAGTAGAAATGAGAAAGTTAAAATGAATGCGACAAAATTAAGAAGGATAAATTAAAGGGGCATTTACATGTATATGCAATATAATTCTTATATATTTACATATCTAACCCCTACATTTTGTTATTTACATGTATAACACACAAATTCTTAACATCACATAAAAAATACTGCTATTATTATCTTTTTAAAAGTGAAATACATCTTCTCATGTATAGGTTAGGTGTTACAAATGTAAATATCAAATTTTAAATGTCCGATGTGTAAATACATCAGAATTGTGTGGTATGTATGATTATATTCAAAAAATAATGGGAATGAAGATAATTTAAAATAGATAAAGGTGATTTATACAAAGAAAAAAAAAACATCCATCGCACAAATAGATAAAATAATGTAAGAATATTATGAGCTAAAATAATATGAATATAAGCTCCATAAAAAAGATTTGTGAAGAATAAACTTAATATCTCAAATATTGCTATAAGAGCGAATGAAAAATGGAATTCATAAATTCGACCAAAAAATTTGTGATGAGGGTAATGATGATGATGATGATAATTTGTAGTTCATGCTTGGCATCAACAATAAGCCAGTCTTAGGCTTCTTAGCTGGATTTCAAACAGAAAAATAGAAACCAAACCAGCGGATTATTTTCCTGCAAAAAAGTTCCGTAAATATATATGAAATAATCACTACTGGTATTGCAGCTTCGATCACAACTGTATTTTTCTGGAGTCAACAATTTATCCTCCTATAATAATGATAAATAACCTAAATACCTAAGCAGAGACAAAGAACAACACGTAAATATAGTTAAGAGACCATTTATCACATAAATCATAGGTTTGGTAGCTTATGTGCTTACAGGCAAATGACATTACGGTCCACCTCCCCTTACAACAGCTCCATTATCGCTACCTCAACCTAAGCTTCGTCTATCTGATCCTGTGAATAAAGGACAGTTTTATTCAATTAAAGGTTCACCTAATCTTCAAAGATGGTGGCTAGATTACCACTACATATTTACCTGAGCATCGGAAGTCCAGAGAGTGAGATTATCACGCAATAATTGCATGATAAGTGTGCTGTCTTTGTAAGACTCCTCGCCCAGGCTATCCAGTTCTGCAATTGCCTCCTCGAATGCCTGTAGCCATTTGAGTATGAAGACAACAATCGGTTCAAAACAGAACAGCATTTAATGACATTACGATATTTAGCTGGAACACAGTTAAGTCTAATGCATCATTGCGACCTGAGTTAAATATAGTTTCATTATTAGGCAGAAGTTTTTATATTTGTATGCTCCCGTAGTGAATTAGAAAATGAAAATGGGGTATGACTACATTCATTTGGTAATACAATCAAGATTATTTATTGAAATGGTGTACAATGTCCAGGAAAACAATTTCTATCTTCTTTTTTCCTATTATTTTTCCTTTTGCTTTTCTTCCAAATCAATGGTATCCAAATGTCTCATAGTGGAGGGGAGCAAATTGAGAAAGAAGGCCAAGATGCAATCTTTCTAAAAAAATGCCTCTGCATCATGCATGTTGTCTCAGTGTGTAAATTAGATGCGGCAAATGCAAGAAACAGGTGATTGCAATCCATAAACCAGCAGTAATATTGGATTTATCCAAGCATTACATTCAAAAAAATTCTGAAAATTATGCAGAGAAAGGCAATATTGTTTGACCAACAATTATTGTGTCAAGAATTTGTCATCTCAAGCAAGCAAATAATTGATAACCACATCTGTGCAAAAAATAATAATAATAATAATAATAATAATAATAAATAAATAAATACGCACTGCATGTAAAATTGTTGAAGAACCCACAAAACAGATAATTCTCATATCATAATGAGATGGGGATTATTTAGCAAAAAACCTACAGACAACAGAATCTAGTCAAATCTTGAGTAAAAATTACCTTCACTATGAACCCCTAATTTCACGAACTCAAACTGCTTCAACGCTAATGAAACTTCTTTTACATTGATTTGCTGGCCGTGTTAACCTTACTTGTTATATCAGATAATAGGGATCGACCACTGATTTTGGAGTCATTTTGCTGATAACTATTTATTAAATTAAATCTACAAACAAGATCAGTAAATGGATGAATAACTTGTGTTATTTTGCTTGAAAAGTACAGCTAGAACTCGAAAAGATGTGAAAACCACATATTGGATCACTTGGGAATGGTGCTAAGGGGTTGTGGTTAGATTTCAAATGATGCTCAGGCAAATGTTGTAGTTCCAATACCATCCAACTAGTTGGGTACACAATTTTCCATGTTAGAAAGTCGTTTGTAGCCATTCAAGTTTATAGAAGGATGTAATGTTTAACACGCGTTCCACACACTTGCGCAATTAAGAAAGGGCGTGACTACCTAAAGAAATAATTCCTTAAAAAGACAATGATGTCTATGTCAATGTGTGAGCTTAAATTCAAAACAGGAGAGAAGCTAGCTCAGCATCATCTACCTTAAAGTGCTAATTATCCTACTTAACCTTTTGCCTGTTTGAGGGAGTATTTATAAGTGGCCCCTAATGAATGGAATTTTGGTATCTTTCATCAATCACATTTTGGAAAGGTAGCCACATTATTTCTCCAATTCACACCTGAATAAAGTAGCCGTTGGTCCAGGGCAATTTAGTAGCTTGATCAATCTGAGGTATCAAATTAAGCTACTTCACCTTTGAGATCCTTGTCTAGATGTTGAAATGATTTTGTTAGTCTCGAGCTCGATTCGACTATTAAAAAGCAGCTCGAACAAGATTTCGAACTCAAGTCGAGCCCATAGAATGAGCTCGAGCTCGGCTTATCCGTTTGTTACCATGCTCGAGAGCTCGACCCATCCACTTATTACCGACTTGAGAGCTTGACTCATCTTGATGGAAGGTCGCTAAAATGAAGTCGGGAAAGTGATGAAGCTCACCGGAGAAAGGGCCAACAATATGAGAAGGAAATAGTCTTTGCGGGAGCTTGCTGGAGAAAGTATTCATGGGACTTGTGGCCGTCCATGGGATGGAAGAAAAGCCTTGGCTTATTTTGAGGATTGTGAAATGTGAGAAGGAATTATAGCTTGCATTTAAAGTCATTTGCCTTTAAAACCTGCCTTTATAACTTTTTTTATAATAGTTTTTTTCCGATTTTTAGGAAACTTAAATGTTTACTGTCATAGATAATTATTTTAACCAAGTCAGCTAGTAAGTCGACGAGCCGAGTTATATTAAGCTTAAACTCAAGCTCATTTAATTCATGAGCTTAAGTTTGAGTGTGAGCTTGAACTCGTGGCTCAATAAGCTTGAATCACGAGCTTGTTCGTAAGCCAAGTTCGAGCCTACTCGGCTCATTTACATGCATATACCAGTCCTTTAATCCCCAATGATAACTACAGCACAAGACCAACACATTAGCTTTTTAAACAATGTAAGGTTGTTCTTAAAGCACACTTGTGATCTTACAAGAGTTTTACCATTTATCATAACTTATAACTCTTTTATGATAACTTTAAATGCATTTGAATTGACTTTACTTTTTGTTATGGCTATCTACTGATGTATTTATTAATCACATGGTGTGAAGCTAGTGACATAACATATGCCTCCCTTGGAGGCTTTTTCTTGAGGCTTTTTATTCATTATTCTATAATTTTTACCAAGCCTTAAAATAAGGCTGTCAACACTTCAATTTTGTGGTTCTCTTTCGTGCGAGGCAGAACGGGTATTACATGTTATACTATCACAATCTTTCCTCTAAGCTTGGTTAAGGGGAATTTTTAGCTTCTCTTTATGATTATAAATATGGGATTGTGACATGTAACATGTTTAATAAGTTAGATGAGCCATTTCTTCTATTTTTATCATTTAATTCCTAGATCAAGTGAAAGACTTAAAATAGTTTTAGAAGAGGTTATTTCATATATAAATGAGAGGCTTATCTTATTCGTGAATTTTTTATCTTATGTTGCTTTTACTTTTATGTTTTATTATTGGCTTGATCGAACTGTTTGATTTAAATCAAATTTTATAAAATATGATTTCCATTAAATACATGACTTTAAATCCTTTTGTGGTTTTCTTGCTTATTAATTTCGAGTAAAAGTGCTTTACATTCTTCATCCGGTTTGATTTCTGTCAACTTCGAAGTTCTCATTTATGGTGGTTTATAACAACTCAAAATTAAAGGTTTGTGTCACATGAATTTTGCATGCTTGTTGCATAGTTTCCAAATCTGATATACATTTGAATCAGAAACACTAGTCCTTATGCTGTCCTGTAGCAGCACAAGTGCATGTTGTTTACAACAAAACAGCCCAAACATATAATAATCCTTCATTGTAGGACTATGTTAGGGAGATATGTGACTTTCAATGCAACGTTACATCTCAATTATGATTATGTAAACATTTATCAGCTTTATTTTTTCCCACCTTATTTGCTTAACTTTTAATAGTTCAGTTAGGATAGTAAGAATTCCTGTCTAATCAAGTATAAAATATTTTCAGCAAAGCACCTATTCTGAGGCACCCTCTTTGCCAGCTATTTAGCATATCTATGTAATTGATTTTTAGTGCCCTCTTTCTTCCTTAATTTGGTTTCCGATGCATGTTGTAACGGATTTATGAAAGATTCCAAAATGTGACCATTCCACAATGTCATGTATAAATATTCCCTCAAATAGGCAAGATTAGTAGGATCAGTCACTTCAAGGTAGATTGTGCTGAATTAGTTTTTACTTTTGTTCTAACTTAAGCTTACTCATTGACTTTGACATTATTGTCTTTTTACGAAATCATTCCTTAAATATGTGAACATTTTATAAAATGTGATTTTCAGTGTTTTTAGGTTAATTTTCCCATCTTATTGTCTTAACCTTTAATGGTACAGTTTGGATGGTTAGAATTATTATATAATAAAACATAGCATTTTCATGAAAAACACCTATTCTAAGGCACCCATATTCCACCCCTATCAAGCATACATTTTTTTCTATGTAAATTGTTTATAATGTTGTAGTGAGTGATTGGTTGCAATGGGTTCCACATTTCATCCTTCATAAATTTGTAAATAAGTGTTTAGATTAAATAAGCTACTCACTATTAGATGAGAGTATTCCCAGATTAATTTTAATTAATATAATTATCGTGTCTTATACTCATAGTGATTCTCACAAGAAGGGTTTGATGATACAGCCGGTCCTACTAGCTCCCATGTTATTTGATTTCATCAAATTTCTCTCAACATATAAATTAACCTAGGAAAATATATTTCCCATCATCAATTTTGTGGTTTTAAGCTCCCACATGGTTTAAAATTGTCCAATATGTGGCCTGCCTTGAGTGTTGCTTAAAATTTTATTTTATTTTATTTTGTGAAAAATTCGCAATGAGGCTTATGCATCATTGTGTACGATGAGGCTTTCACCTTATATAAAGTGAAGCCTGCCACATCTCAATTCTAGCCTACGCAATTAGAACTAGTATGTTTTTTCTCATTCATCCTCATCTTAAAATTCAATTATCTCTTTTTTGTTTAACTAATATTAATTAGTAAGAATATTTATTAGATTTTAAAATAATGATCATGTTGATTGTAACAACTTCAATTATATCCTCAATTATGCATTTTATAAACAAGAAATGTTATTATATTTAGTTTACATATAGATTTATTTAAAGCTCGTTAAGTGATAAGAGTAATTGAGACTTCGAATTTTGAAATTTTAATTTTAGTGGCTTGTTTTAGTGTCACTTTGATGGATGAAAATAGAATTATGAGTGAGAACAATTGTATCGAACTTATTTTGAATAATTATATTACTACATCTTATTTTCGTATTAGTTTGTATAACCATTCTTATTTTATGATTGATATTTGAAAGTTAATATATTATTTATTACTACATATTTTGAAATTAGTATAATATAACTTGCTTTGTGGAATTTATTGATTTTGAGGTTTACGCCTTGTCACACTTGTGAATCGAGCTTGTGCCAACTCAATTACACACACCCCTTGACTGATGTGATTGAAGTAGTTGCACATTTGGTTGTTTTTGGGGATTGGAGAGACATGAAGGTGGTGTTCAGTTTGGGCTGTAAGTGTTAATGAGAGGTGCTACAACACAATTGTGTT